TCCCACCAGTGTCTGTCTGTTGGTGAACAGGACAGTCAGTGAGGGTGCAGCAGTGATGAGGCTGAAGGATCAGGCCCTACACTGCTGGGGACACTGATGTGGTTCTGTGCTGCTTGGTTCTGGCTTAGGGAGGCCCCTTCCAGCCAAACGTTGATGATTTTGTCAAAAATAAACCCAGGCAGGGTCTACACACCACTGCCAAGCCATCATTTCTGCCATCTCCAGGATGTGGGGGACAGGGAGTGGTAGAGGGTGAGATGGGGTGGGATGGGGTGGTATTATAGTGTAGCTAAACGAAGAAGATTTTTTTTTTTTTAAACTTTATTATGTCATCATATAGTTTTGGAGAGCAGAATGAACACCTCTGCCCTCTCTCTCTGTGCGGGGCAGGGAAGGATGAAGGGTCCTGTCAGGAAATACCACGAGAACTTAACGAAACAAACTTGCTAGTGGGACCATAACTCGATCTCTCTGGTTCTGGTGGGGGGTATCAACACTTTTTTTTTTTTTCTGTCTTTATTGTATGTTTTGTTCTGTTTTGTCCTCTCTTTTTTAGTAAAGTTGTCACTAATTTTGCTACTTCACTCAGATGCCTCGTAATTTCAACAAAAATTCATCGTTTAGGGGCAGGGAAACAAACAAAAGAGGAAAGCAGTAGTGAGTGCTCTATTGCTGGCACATATTGTCAGTAAACCAAGACAGATGGGACGAAATGGGACGGGAGGGGACAGGATGGGATGAGATGGCTGGGCAGACAGAGACCCAGCCATTCTACTGTCTTTTTGCAAGGAGCTGCCACACCTCCACACTGCCATAACCTCCACAAAGCTTCTGGCTCTGCCGGGGATGGCTGGTGGGTTGAAGGACATCCCCTTCACAGAGGGAAAGCTGGTGGTTATTTCTGACCTGCCCTGACATCTCCTCAGACTCTGGCTGTACCCAAGGTGGGAGCATTCCCAGCTCCTCTGGTGTCCTTCCCCCTCAGCAGCAAAGAGAGGAAGACATGGCACCCTTTCATCTCCCTCATTTACAGAAAGGATTTGGAGTTTCCCAGCAATGGGACTGTCAGCAGGTCTGCTTGGAATGAATCAGGCAGTGAAGACAGAATTCACAGTTCAGTGTTCACCGGGTGTCAGGATAACAGGAGGGGATTAGAGCACGTACAGAAATATTAAATGTAAATTAAGCATTTATGTATGGATGGGGAGTGTATATGAACACCTACATGTGTGTAATAGCTGGAAAACATCCAAATGGGAAATGAGGGATGGTTATCCAAAGCCAGGGTGATCCTGCTTTGAGCAGGGTTGCACATGGTGACCTCTGGAGATGCCTCCAGCCTCGAGGACCCTCTGGCTCTGCTGCCAAGAAACCCTGAGAGGTGCAGTGTGGGATCACAGCACCCCAGCCTCTCCAGAGGGACCAAGGGGACTCCAGACCTGAAGTCACACAACAAAGGAGGTGGTTTAAAGGTGCTTTTAATTGACAAACACACACTTTTGCCAGCATTGTGCACTTCATTTTGTAAATAAACCCTCTGGCTGAAGGGACTGAACCAGTGCTTGGAGGTTGCCAGAGAGCCTGAGGCAGCAATTCCACCTCATCCACTGGGACCAGCACTGGGAAGCAGAAAGGAAAAACCCAGCAGGATGAGCCTGGATTTGTCACACTGGAGAGCAGGTACTCCCAACACAAATCTACCTGATCAGCGAGGGAGATAAGGTGTCAGCTCAAAACATAACCCAGCTCAGTAGCATAAAATAAACTTTCAAGCAGTTATTAAAAAATAACATCAATTCTGCTGGTGTAATCTGACAGCACTCTGAAGGTGTGTCACATTAAAGACAAATCCACCTGGAGCAGCAGAAGGAAACCCACATGGAGAGATATTCTGGGACGTATACTTTGAACTCCACTTTCCCTTTGCCACAGCCTTGTTGTCTTTATTCATCTGCCCCTGTGCTTGTTCCCAGACACAACACACCTGTGTTACCTGTCGAGCTCATGGCTCCCTTGGGTTCCCTGCAGTCACAGAGCGTATTTCGGGTCAGGACTCCAGACAATTTAAATCTGGGTTAAAAAACAAGCAGTGTTTTGAGATCAGTGCCTTGAGAGGCAGGCCTCAGACCACCTGTGGCCTCTGGGATCCTCCAAAGCTGCCACCAGAGGCTGTCAGAGGGAACTCCTCCCAAAATAGAACCTGACATGGATGTGTGTGAAAGAATGCATGTATACACAAGTATATGCACACATGTGTATATCACTGAATCATGAAACATTGGGGTTGGAAAAGCCCTCCCAGCCCATCGAGTCCCCCCTGTGCCCGCTGCCCACCCTGTCCCCCAGCCCAGAGCACTGAGTGCCACGGCCAGGCCTGCCTGGGACACCTCCAGGGCTGGGCACTCCAAACCTCCCTGGGCAGCCCCTGCCAGGGTCTGACCACCCTTTCCAGGCAGAAATTCCTCCTGATGTCCCCCCTGCCCCTCCCCTGGCCCAGCTGGAGGCCGTTCCCTCTCCTCCTGTCCCTGTTCCCTGGGAGCAGAGCCCGACCCCCCCCGGCTCCCCCCTCCTGTCAGGGATTGCAGAGCCAGAAGGTCCCCCCTGAGCCTCCTTTTCTCCAGGCTGAGCCCCCCCAGCTCCCTCAGCCCCTCCTGCTGCTCC